GCGGGGGGGCTCCGGCTGCCGGGGGGGAAGGCGGCGCGGAGGATGCCGGCGCGGGGGGGAAGGCAGCGGAGGGGGTCTGCAAAGGGCAGTTGTCCCCTCGCCACTCCATGACTCCGCGCAGCAAGGAGATTTATGAAGGCACGTACCAAAGACTGGATAGCCTGGAAGAAACTATCCGTGAGCTGGAACTAACCATCAGTGAGATCAGCAGCCATCCCTCGGCTGAATTTGTATTCCCTAGAGAGCTGCTAGGACAAGCGGGACCCAAGGGTACCAGCGAGGAGAGCAAGGAAGGTCTGGGGGATCTCAAACACGGTAGCTGTGACGATGGGACTGTCCTGGACCTCAGTCGAGCCAAAGATGATGAGAGTCCATCTCCAAGCAAGCCCAAGCCGCCTCTGCTACCCAAGCCGCAGCTCCCCCTCGACACTCCGCAGGTTTATTTTCTGTTCTCCCTCTTGCTGTGCTCGGCCCCGGACTCACTCTGATGTCTCTCTTCCTCCACCTCTACCTGCTCCCTCTCTGTGACTCTACCTCCAGGCAGAGCCAAGGTGGAAAACAAATCTCCTTTCCTCCCTGTCACTTGAACGGGGTTTGGGAAGTGCAGGCAAGCAGGAGCGAGACTGCAGGCAGCCGAGCCGGCAGCGTGAAGGCAGACAGTGCCAGGCCGTGCTGCCGTCTGTCCCTCACTGGTGCCCGTCCCTGGCTGGGCACCGAATTGGACCCCAGCTCTCTGGTATCTTCTGCCCTGGGAGGTTTTAGGGCTGAGCACGCTGCTGGTGATGAGGAGGGGGCTGGTGCTGAGCACCCCACGGAGCCGGCGAGGGCTGGGTGCGCTGGCTGACGGAGCAGCGTCCCTTCTTTTGCATAAGCGCTTTTCTAACGAACTGCAGTTCCAGCGTGGCAGCTGTTTCTCCTAATTAAATCACAGCGCGGGCTCCCCGAAGCCATCCAATTTGGTTTCTGCTGGAATCCACAGCAGCCGCTCAGCTGGCTGAATATCTGGGAAAAGCAGGGGGGAAAACGCCCTCAGCCGCTCCGCCATCAGCCTGCTCCTTTATTAACAGTCAGCGCTGGGGAATAAATCTCCTTTTTCATTTGCAGCAATTATCCCTGGCCCGGTTCTCAGCGGCGCTGCGGCCCCGTTGCGGTGCTCTCGCTGGGTGAATGGGCTGTCAAGTGGGTGTAGCTGCCGTTTCTCCTGTTGTCAGCTCCCGCGGCACGGCTGGAGCCTGGCAAACGAGCAGTGGAGCTGCGGGATGGATTTATGGCCGTGGCTGGCACGTGCCGGGGCGCTCACAAAGCAAAGCTCGGCGCCGGGTTCAGCGGGAGAGGCTGCGTGGCTGGGCCAGGCTTAGCAGAGCGGGAGAGGGCAGGTTTTGTGTCACCTTTCGGGGATGCTGCGAGTCGGGTGCAAGGGGAGATGCGTGTGCCGGGGATACTGGGGCACTGGGGCAGGTGCGGTGCAGGCAGGAGCTGGATTTCCTTGTGCTGTGGGGTACAGGAGTCCCCGCCGGCCCCATCCACGGGGCCACTGAGGCTCAGGGAGCAGGACAGGCAGGACAGAGAGCTCTGCCTGCGCTAACTGCTTAACGCGGCCCCGCTGCCGTAACCCACCGGCCCTCTCCTGCCGGAGGCAGCGCTGGGGCAGCGTAGTGCTGCCGGGTTTGCTGCCTGCAGCAGCTGGCCCAGGCCCGGGGTGGGCAGGAGGCAGCAGTGAATGGCAGGAGGAGGATCTGGGGTGCAGTGGGGGGGACGCACAGCGAGCCTGCGGCAGGTGGCATCATCCGGGCACCGCCGGAGGGACCTGCAGTGCCAGGGCACGTGCGTCCGGGTGCCGCTTCCCTCGCTGCTGCTCTTGCAAGTCTCCGTATCTCCAACCTGTGCGCAGCTAGTTAATAAAACCCGCTGTATTCCCGCTGCCGCCGTTTCCACCTGGAATCTGCTTCTGCCTGCCGGCGCCTCTTTTCTTTTCTCTTGGCCGTGCGCCCCTGTCCCGGCGGGGATGCTCTCCTCCTGCCCTCGGTCTCCCGGTGTTTGCCGTGTCTGCCCTTAACTCTCTCTTTGCGCTGTCGGTAAGTCCTGGCCGGTTTCGGAGCTCGCCGAGGCGCTGCCCGACGCGGGCTCCTTTGGCCCGTTTGTCACCGTGGGCTGTCCGGGCTCGGCACGGCTCCAGGCACCCGACGCCCAGCACTGGCAGTGCCCAGCGGCCACCGGTGCCGGTGTGGGCTTTCACTTGCCGGATTTAACCCCCTTTCCCCAAATTCTCTGTCCCGGCAGAGCGGTGGCGTGTCCATCCCGGCCATGAAGGTGGTGAACCCGGCGTCCCGGCTGAAGCAGAGCCCACAGGGCAGCCCCGACAAGAGCAAGCACATAAAGCAGCGGATGGAGTACATGCGGATCCAGGGCCAGCAGCAGGTAGTCCATCTCTAGCACTGGCCCAGCCGGCTCTCCTGGTAGCCGGGCGAGCCGCAGGCTGCCCACAGCTCCAGCATCCCCCTCGCTGCCTTGTACGGGGAGAGGGTGCTTGTGGTGGGCAGGGGAGACCCTGCGGGTGTTGCTTTCGGGGACCAGGGTGTCCCCTTCCGCCTTGGCTGAGCCCCGTGGGGGTGCAGGGACCAAGGGGCTCTCACCCCAGTCTGAGCCCGGCGTGGGCTGTTGGGGACGGGGACACAACTTTGCGCTGAGAGTGGC